TCGGCATTATTATTATTATTTTTTTGTTGTTCTTTTATTTTGCACTGCATGAAGCCAGTGGCCCTGTTATCTACATGAATTCATTCTGAACTGACTAAAGGGCTGCTGGCTTTTAATCAATGATACTTGTTTTTCTTTTATGAACTAAAAGCTAAAGCTCAAACGAATACTGTCAATATTTAAAGCAACCCTCCACAAATAAGCATTACCACTTTTTTGTCTTGTTTCTTTATGTATGTTTTTTAACATATTTTTTTGTACATAATGTGTTTGTTTTCAAAGGAGAGAACAGTATTGTGAAGAAAAGTGACTGAAGATTCAATGTCCCGAGTCAGCTGAAATAAAGTCTGCGGAACTTATTGTGTTTGGATTTCATTATATCTACTGTGAACTTTTTGAAAAATATTACAGATAATGCAAGAGTTTTATTAAGTATGCAATTTTAATTTTACATTCATTAGGGCTTATTTATTTATTTTATTTATTAGTTAGTTAGTTATCTGATGTATAAATTGATGGGCTTTGATTGTGTCCCTTTAATTTAATCAGGAAGTCTACATGAAATGTGATTGGTGGAAGCTGAGGATGCAACCAATGGGAGTTTGTGGATCTCTTCCTGTGTTTTTTTTTTCTTCTCCCCAGTACTCGCATAGAAATGTAGGCAGCTACTTTGCTGAAGGATATCCTAACGCCCACAAAGGATCCTCATCTGAATCGCCTCAGGCATAATTGTWAGTATGTTCTTTATATGAGCCAAAAGCTTAACAATATAAGGGTTTCGTCACCACAGAGAAAGTGCCGTACACCTGTGATGGGGGTTTAACTGGTGCTTAGCTAAGATGCTAGCGATTCACTGCTAACAAACAAATCAGAGGAGCGTATCGTAAGTGCTTGCTCATGACCTCACGATGTGTTTTGTGTTGTCTTTGTTGTCCGTTTGATTCACAGCGCGACTAAATACTGATGGTGACAAAATGAAGATGAAGACAGAAGCCGGGGAAGAAGAACAGTACGATGTAATCACGGTCAAAACTGAATGTAAATCAGAGCATGAAACGACTGAAGAAGATGAAGACTCCTCTGATGAAGAGTACACTGTCAACGGAGACGATCTTAATATTTTAATCAAGGAGGAACCACTGTCACGGGAGATCGATGAGGACAACTGCGTGAAAATTAAGCTTGATGCTGGTTCTGTCTGTCAGGATCTGGAGGGACAGATAAAAGTCGAGCTGGACTCCAGCAGTGATGATCTGCTGGAATATGATGAATCCGGTGGAGCTGCTATCAAGGATGAGACAGAGTCGTGGGTTAAAGAGGAGACACAGAGTGAAGATGAGGCTGAGGAAGAGGACGTGGATAACATCGAAGAAGATTTTGAGGATGGAGAGGTTGTCTCCACAGGTACAAGCCTGCAAATGAAAAACACATGCTCACAAAGTTTTCACATTATTCACTCTTTATTCAGTCATATGCATGTTTATGATAGCCGTATAAACAAGAAGAACCCAAAACAAAAAGGTTTTCTTTTTTCCCCTTTACTAAACCAATGTGTTCATTTCTCAAATRTTTGCCCTCCAGACAACTAGCAATGAAGAATAGGTTCAAATACTATATTCTTCCATATCCCATGACAAAAAGTAAGAAAATGCAACTAAACCCTAAAAGTAATAAATCAGTGTTAGTTGTTTTCTTATCATTAATGAATCCCACCACTGTCGTCAACACCCTCAGCAAACCCAATGAGCTGATTTGCACTGATTTTGACAGGAAAGTCTTGTGTCAGCAGAATAAAGGACACAGGACTGAGCATGGATCCCTGAGGGGCCCCTGTGCTCAGTTTGATGGGCCGTGATCTCTTACTGCTGACACGTACTGTCTGCTTTTGTCACAAAGTTCGAAACCCAGTCACTCTTAGCTTTTACTGTAAGCAGTTGTGGATTTATTGTGTCGATGAGAAGTCAATGAACATATATCTTGACAAATCTGGATATATGTAAATATGACAAATCTTTTTACTTATTGTGAGAAAATATAGTGCGGAGGGTGTGTGACTGCATGATCTCTGGACCAGCTAACGTAGTGAGCAAACAGTAAGGGCTTCAGAGAAGGTGGGAGGCTGGCTTTAACTTGACCCATAATTAGTCATTAAAAACATTATGCTAGAGGTCAGCAGCACGTTTTACAGTCCACTGGAGAGAGACGTCTAGAAACCCCTGCTAACTCGGCGGTAACGTTCAGTGCATGGCCCAGATTATCAGACCCTTCCCCTTTATGGTTATTTTCATATTTAGTGATATCAGTTACATTTTTTAAAATAATTAGCTTATAAAATGTTCAGCTAATGTGATGACCCTTTGTAATGCTAAACTGCTGTGGTGTTCTTGCACCAACAACTAACAATTCTTTTTTTCTTTTTTCATTTTTTGTTTGGTTTGGTTTTATCCCATATTAATTGTGGAAATATAAACCTTGTGTTCGTAAAAGCACAAATGAAGTTTACTATATTTTGTGCTGGCTGAAAGCTTTTGATTTGATTGATTCTGTCAATGCATAGTTAATGTCTGTATCACAATTCATCTATAAATTGGTGAATTTCCACACCTTTACTGCACACGTTTAAGAATTTATTTCTGCATTCTTCCCATCTTCCGAAGAAAATCTACATGGGGAATATAGATATTTAATTATGCCGTTCTCATATTCACTGTAAATAAATATTTTTATACAGGTTTTTATATATCTGTACATTTTTTTATTTATAGACTTTTTTTCACTAGACTGTCACAAAAACAACTTTCTATATCAAATAATACATTTGTTGTTTTGTATTTACAACTCATATCCAATGGTAATTTACAATTTTTTAACTTTGATTAGATTTTTAAAGAAGCTAAAATGCTTAAAAACAAACAAAAAAATGTTTTTAAATTGTTACGCAGGAGAGAAAATTATAGGGAAATAATGTTTATACACTTTACTGTCTGCTTTTTGTCTCCTACTAGAGTCATCGTCAGAGTTTTTCCCATGCCCTCACTGCACCGTCTCCTTCACTAACACGGACTACTTGGAGAAACACGTGAAGTGGGTCCATCAGAAAGAGTATCTCGATAATCTCAAAAAGAGCCTCCCAAACCACACACTAAACTTCAGTCACAAACACGTTTGCTCTATCTGCAGCAGCACCTTCAAATGCAAAGCTCACCTCGGCATCCATATGCACGACGTCCACCCCTCGGCCCCTCCCCGCAGGCTTCACCCCTGTCCACATTGTGCCCGTAGCTTCCAGTACCTGAAGAATCTGAAGAATCACTGTCAGCGCTGGCACAACATGTCTGTGGTCATTAGACGAGGTCACCTCAGTTGCGCTGACTGTGGGAAGAGTTTTAAAGCCACCTGGGGTCAGGGACGACATCTGTGCCACGAACCAGACGGCAATGAATCCGAGGACAGGCCGATCTGTTTGGATACTGGCGTGCAGTGCTCGCAGTGTGGCAAGAAGTTACGAACGCCTCAAAGCCTGGAGGATCACATGCGCACCCACACGGGGGACCGGCCGTTTATCTGCAAAGACTGCGGCAGGAGGTTTGGGGAGCGCAGCAGCTGGCGGCAGCACATGAAAATCCACCTGGGAGAAAAGCCGTTTAAATGCGAGGTGTGCGGCAAGGCCTTCATAAGGTCGCACCACCTCAAGTCGCACTTAACCACACACTCCGGCAAGAAGGAGTACTCCTGCCTTGAGTGTGGGAAGGAGTTCGGATTCAAGTCAAGCCTGGATCTTCATGTGCAGACGCATTCGAGCGAGAGACCTTTCCACTGCAACGTTTGTGGGAAGAACTTCAACACTAGACGAAACCTGAGGGTTCACACCAAACTTCACAACAACGAGAAAGCTCACAAGTGTGGGGAGTGCGGGCTGGAAATCAGAGATCTCGGCGCGCTAAAGGTCCACTTGCGGACGCACACGGGAGAAAGGCCTTACCACTGCACCGTGTGCGGCAACAGGTTCATTCGCCTTGCGCACTTACGCAATCACCAACGCATCCACTCGGGCGAGAGACCTTACAAATGCAACGAGTGCAACAAGAGTTTCACTCAGTCCGGCGACTTGGTGAAGCATAAGAGGATACACTCCGGAGAAAAGCCTTACGAATGTCCAGAGTGCCACCGCTGCTACACTTCCTCTGGCGACCTGGGCAAGCACAGGAGGAGTCACACTAACCTACGCCCCTACACGTGCCCGGAATGTGGAAAAACCTTCCGCTTATCGGGCCATTTGAAAACCCACATGTTAACCCACACCGGGGAAAAGCCGTATTCTTGCCCCAACTGCCTTCGGAGGTTCGCTCGCTCTCACCATCTCTCTGGACACGTTGCAAAATGTCGCTGAGCTTAGATGTTTAGGATTAAAAATAGACACAACGTGTACAGTCCAACACTAGCATTTTACTAGGGGTGCACCGATTTATTGGCACTGATTTCCTTAATTTTGGGAGATCTGACAATACTTGGATAAGATCAATGGAAAAGATCGGTTTCTCATCTGCCTCCTCAAGCCACTGTCCCCTTTTGCTCTGCTCTGAGCACTACCTAATGTCCAGTTGAAACAAGTTTGTATTGTTTCAAGGGCATTTTTCAATGTTTTTCAATAAAATAAGACTGGATTATTGAAGATGTAATGTGACCTTATAACACCTGGCGGTGTCAGTTTTTTAAAGATTGTGATCGGCCAGAAAACTGCAGTCGGTGCACCCCTACGTTTTACAATCCTTGTTTGAAAACATGATATCATATTTAACTATTTATAAACATTCTCTAAAGTTGTTTTAAGAAAACCACGATTAAATTAAAAAATATATATTAAGAAATGTGCATGTTACTATTTACGCAAGCTGTATGTACTTTATGTCTGGTGTCATTCTGACCAGTTTTGTAAGACACTAAAATGATGAAGACCTGGAGATAAGATATGAAGTAGTTCTGTAGGATGTCCAGAATGATTGTTGTTCTACACTTATTAAGTTATCTGTAAAACTAAAATAAATAGTTTGTTAAAAGCTTGAAGACTGTATTTTTTACGAGCTGCATAAATTGTATTTATTCAACTTTTTAAAATAACAGATTTAAACGCATAACTCAAATTTAGAGTTAAATATAGAATGTTAGAAAATATGGAAAGTGCCTGCCAGATAAACGTGTGGCAAAGAGGTGTTAAAATCTTATTTTCTTTGTTGCATCAGACATCTCATTTTAAGTTTGATATTGGCAGTCACACAAAGTGAATAATAATAATAATATAAAATCTGTTTTTGATCTTGAAATCAAAACTCCAAAGTGGGTATACAGCGGGTAAAATAAGTATTGAACACGTCACCATGTTTCTCGGTAAATATATTACTAGAGGTGCTAATGACATGAAATTTTCAYCAGATGTYGGTAACAACCCAAGTGATCCATACATACAAAGAAATCAAACCATAAATRTCCAGAAATGAAGTTATTTGTAATAATGTGGAATGGCACAGGGAAAAAGTATTGAACGCGCTTACTGAAATTTATCTAATACTTTGTACAAAAGCCTTTGTTGTCAATGACAGCTTCAAGACGCCTCCTGTATGGAGAAACTAGTGGCATGCATTGCTCAGGTGTGATTTTGGCCCATTCTTCCACACAAACAGTCTTCAAATCTTGAAGGTTTCGTGGGCCTCTTCTATGAACTCTGATCTTTAGTTCTTTCCATAGATTTTCTGTTGGATTCAGGTCAGGTGATTGGCTGGGCCATTCCAGCAGCTTTAGTTTCTTTCTCTGAAACCAAATGAGAGTTTCCTTGATTTTGTGTTTGGGCTCATTGTCTTGCTGAAATGTCCAGCCACGTTTCATCTTCATCATCCTGGTAGATGGAAGCAGATTTTTATCAAGAATGTCTCTGTACATTTTTCCATTCATCCTTCCTTCAGTTATTTGAAGTTTGCCAGTACCATATGCTGAAAAACAGCCCCACACCATGATGTTCCCACCTCCAAACTTTACTGTTGTGGTGTTTTTAGGCTGATGTGCAGTGCCATTTGACCTCCAAACATGATGTGTATTCTGGCATCTGTCTTGGCTTTCCATGACTTTTTACACCTCCCTTTCTTCATGTGTTCAATACTTTTTCCCTGTGTCATTCCACATTATTACAAATAACTTCATTTCTGGACATTTATGGTTTGATTTCTTTGTATGTATGGATCACTTGGGTTGTTACCGACATCTGGTGAAACTTTCATGTCATTAGCACCTCTAGTAATATATTTACTGAGAAAAATGGTGACGTGTTCAATACTTATTTTACCCGCTGCACCTTGTTTAAACTGTGCAGGTCATCCAGCAGGTGCTGTGGTTTCTATACTGGAAGTACTGTGAAAACTACTTGCTCGGAGCACCAGTGTTTAACGGTGCAGACTTGATGAGGCAGCAACACAGGTAAGCCACATCTTTTATTGCTCTGTATTACCTCCCTAGTTGCAACTATTTCAGTTTTGTGCAGCTGATTTTCAGAAAAGCAGTTTTGTCCTAAAGAATTATATTCATTCATTAAATATTTGCTTTTGCATTCTCATTATACGATGTAGAAAACAGACAATCCCTATATGATTGTAGCAAATAATTAGTGAGTTTCTATTTTTTTTAATAATACTGTAAAGCAAAAATTATGTTGACGTATAGTTCTACATTTTTTTTCTTTTCATGTACTAATGATGAGGCATTTTATTATGCTTCAAATACGAAAGTCCTTATTTTTTGCTAATTCATTGCCATCAGTTGCACTGCATTGGTTGCAACATTTGTCACAAAAGTGTCAAATCTGGTAGGTTTTTATATTAAATTCTGAAGATTGTAAATATTCTATAAATTCTACAGTCTTTACCTGTATTTGCAAAGACAAACCAAAAAAAACAGTATTAGAAATATAATTTTTTTTCTGTCAACTTTTACACATAGATACGAAATCACAAAGTGCATCACAATTAAAGCAAGAAAAAAATAAAATTTAAAAGCATCACAAAAGCATTACATTCATGCAAAAGTACAAGAAAAAAACACTTTAAAACTATTGCTTAAAGAACAGTAAAAAATGTTTTTTCTGCATAAGTTAAGAGATGCCAGAGATCTAACTGAATATTAAATGAAACTCTTTAGTTTTTATTTAAAGAACACAATTTAAAAACCATATGTTGGAGACTAAAATAAATATATATTTTTGTCTCATTTAAAAAAAAAAAATTTGTCCATCCTTTTATATTTTTGTTCATTGTTTGGTTTGCACTTTCTTTCCTCGTTAGATTGGAATATATACCTTTCTTTAGTGGTCCAGTCATCTGAGGAAAATCCTGCTAACACTCAAACACACCCAGGATATGCATCACTTAGACAAGGCCCACAACTAAACCCGTCTCGGTCAATTCAGTGGGAATTGGTCTATTATTTTTATGTCCGCAATTACAGGGACAGAGCAGTAACTACGACTCCAGCACAGATAACAAAGATATATTTAGSAGTAAATAATATTGACTGTACCTTTGTTTAAAGCAGGAATCAATACTTCTTAAAGTGTGTCCATTTTTCATTTAGCCGCGTCATGTCTGCGTGGAGGAGGGGCTGCGGGGGGAGATGAATGGGTGGATTCTCTAATTCCCCCTGTTGCAGTTATCATAATTGTTGAACAAGCACGGTTTTTAAAGATCGGGCTCGGGGAGAGGCAGGCCACACAAAGAAAGTTAATAGATTTGGAAAATTGAGATGGATTGCACAGAAGCCATTTTTGGAACGTTCCAGCGGCGTGGCAGGCAGATGGACAAATATGATGGAGGGATGAGGAGGTGGATGGGGAGAAGAGGGCCCGCTGCACACAAACAAACAGGAGGCTGGGAATGTATCCTGGCAAGTAAAGGTGTTACGCTTTGCTTTGTCCGGTGCAGACTCCTCACGCTCTGAGGCCCGCATTAACCAGGGCCTGATTGAAACGGCAGTAGTTCCTCTTTCGAGGCACCAGGGGGAAATGACTAGCTGTGGATAGGAGGCTTCAGGGAATAGTCAAGCTCAGAAAATGTCACGAGCCTAAAAGTTAGAGGCATATCTGAGCCTTTGTTCAGCACCGCGTGTGGAAAATATTATACCTCCACCTTATTATGTCCACCCTCAAACAGTGCTCCTCCAGCTGATAGTGCTTCCAGTGCGGAACCTCTGACCCTCTCATTTGTCCGCTTTTAGGCTCCGTAAAAGATGTTTTACAGCAGTTGTTTATCCACGGGGGCCCACATTTGTTTCCATCCGTTTTGATATCGGTCATTGTTTCCACATTTGATGCATTCAGGCTTTCCTCTGCTCCTCACAAATCTTCCCCATATCCAATTTTCGCCWATCCTGTGTCCAATTTTCCCTAATAATCAGATGATTACAGTATGCTGCTTTCCTTCCCTCCTTTTCAGTGTCCTACTCTTTTCCTCCCTTGCTCCTATTTTCCCCCCTTGATTCCATTTCATTCTCCTTCCTACAGCGTGACGTACATTACATGAATGTTTACTGAGGCAACACGTTTCATCTCTGCAGATATAGGTGCGCTACACTGGTTAAGACGTTTCTGCAAATCATCAACAAATCAAAGCCTTACATTTATTTACCCTCCGTTGTCACAAAGCAGAATGGCAAACCCTGTTTTTTTTTCAATTTGCTTTCTTTGACAGACAGCTGATAGTGTTTTAGGGTTGCAGTCTGAGAATTAAATTACCACATATTGAATCTTATAAAAGTCCAGTCGAGAGGATTTTCTTTTAGTGATGTAATTCAAGCCACCCAATTTTCCTTGTATTTACTGTCTATATTTTTTGTCAATTTGGCAGAGGAACACATCGTGCGCATCGCCCCTGGGTGTCACCGGTGTCGTCACGCTGCTGTGGTTTTGGTGTTGGCTGGCCTCCGGGGTCAGCGTGTGGGAAGAGACCGTGGCTCTGTGGGGGCTTCTGCGGCGGCTCTTGCCCTGTCCCTTTGGGCTCCTGCAGGCCCACATCCACCCCTCTCATTCACGAGGGGGGGCCAGCACTCAGGTCAATATGCACAGTTTGACTCAGACTGGTGTGTGTGGGCGTAGATGAAACTAGGTATGTTTTGAGGGGTTGGTAAGCTGTGGCTTATTTCTCTCCCTCTCAAGTCCAAATGTGCCTAAAAGCATGGCTCGCACAAAAGGAGGGAGAGAGAAAACGCTATTAAATTGTGCTGCATCTAGTGCCGAGAGTGGGCTGCCAAGTTGCACATAAAAGGAGGGAAAGACGCTGTTTAGTCCCCGATTAGTTTCATCGCGTTGACAGGTTGGTGAAGAGGTGAGGAAGATTTCTCTCCCCTTCAGCCATCTCGGAGAAGCTGAGCCGGTCTGG